GTGCCGGCTCCGAGCTGTGCTCAGCCTCGGGCACCGCTGCCCCGAGGGCTCTGCTGGTTTTCCTATCCCTGCTGAGGCCGGGCACACGGGCACGGAGGGGAGGATGCTCCTGCGGTCACCTCGGGGGTGACAAGGAGCTCTGCGTTCCCGGCCGTGGATGGACTGACSGTCACTGCTCTCCCCGGCTGGACATGGACAAGCGCGGCTCGTGTGGCTCCAGGATGGCCCGGAGCGGGATGGCCAGGTCCCGGGTGGTGCTGGCACCCTCTCGGGCAGCCAGCTGTGCCCAGCTGCTCAGCAGGTACGGAGCATTCCCGKGGGGTGCGGGGTGATCGCTGCTCCTCGCCCTAAAGCGCGGCGCGGGGGTAAAGGGGAGGTGGGAGCAAGGTGAATTTTTCACAGGYTATTGTGTGTGCTCTTAAAAGAGTGCTTTAAGTGCCTTGATCCTGAAATGAAACCTGTGAAAATCCCCTTTCTTCTTCCTCATGCTGAGCCTACGAAAATCCCCGTTCTTTTTTCCCGGACGCGCTCTGTAACTGGGCAGAGCGCAGCRCGCTGGGGAAGTGGGACCTGGGGGGCTGAAACTTTTCTTTGTGATGCTCTGGTGACCTGCCTCGGGGTTTGAGGGCTGTTCAGAGCTTTGTGGGTCTGTGTGAAGGTACGAGCTGCTGATTTATCACGAAAGTGGTAGAGGATAGAACTGAAATTTAAACACTTTATTCGACAAACACCATCCTGCTTGTGTGCTTACTGGATATTACAAGAATCAAGACTTCATCTAATGTGTATTTGCATCTGCTCAGAAGTTAAATCAAGCTTTTAGAATGTTTCCTTGCTGTAGTAATCAAAATCTGTTCTGTGTGAATGTACTGACAGTGATTTTACTTCTAATCACAGCTCACATTTTCATGTGTCTCTCTGAGTTCTCATTTTTTCTAGTCTGATTTGACTAGATTTTGTGTTCAAAGAAAGACAGGAAATCTTTAGAGGACCCGAGGCAAAATTAGAGTTGTAAAAAAAAAAACAACAACAAAAATCAATAATAATCGTAGGGGGACTGACAGAGGAATAATATAGTATATTATTTAAAAATTGCCTAAGTGGAAGAGAACGAGATTAAAACCTTGAGTATTGCAGGGTTTCTTTGATGAAAATCAAAATATTTGTTAACAACTTCAGGCTTTTGCCAAACGAGTTAGTTGAGTTCCMGTGCCTGTGCTGGTGCCAGAACACCTCTGTGGTCAGCTCTGAAGAGGTGCTGCAGCAGGAACCTCAAACTCGCTCACCAGCTTTGCCCAAAACATTGAACTCAGGCCAAGTGACACTTCCCTGCTCACCCRGGACTCACCTCAGGTGAGAAATGTCCTGTGGATGTGTGTACGTGTAACTAAGCCTCTTTGCTAGGATTGACCTAAAACCTACCTGTACAATAGGCAAGGATGTGCAGGTCTGGTGTTCCAGTTAATGGACTGTAATCCCTGTTTATTTTTGATCAGCAGCTGTGACGTGCTCACTGAGCTGCCAGTGAGACTCCTGCTGGCTTGTGYTGGGCTGTCAGTGGTGCCCTGGCTCCAAAACTGAGAAAAAGCCACTGCTGAGCCAGCTCTGCCTCCCTGCTGCTCCTCCTCTCGSTGTTGAGGTGCTCGTGGTGCCAGGGCTGGCTGGTGACACTCCAGTTACAGAGCTGGTTGTAAATTCCATCCAAGGGATTTTCATAGCAGGGAAACAGCCCAGCACCTCGTGTTCAGTGCAATAACTSTGCCCTGAGAAATGCACACAACGAGTTTGTGACTCCTCCCTGCCTTCCTGCATCCCTGAACTCTCAGGAGTGAAGCATAGCTGGATTCCAGAGCAGCTCTCCACCCCTCCTTCCCCTGKGCTGGCAGCAAGTCACTGCTGTCACCTCTCCAGCATCTCTGGGCTGTTCTCACACTGCTGAGCAACACCTTGTGGTTACTCACTCTGTGCTCTCCGTCTACACCTGGTGGAGTGGGCTACAAGAAGAAACAATGGGCTACAAGAAGAAACAAGGATGAATTCTATCATCCTGATTTACTCCAAGTCCAGCATTTAAGAAATTGCAGAACAAGACTTTAGCACGTGTGAGCCTGCTTTAGTAGAAAGCCTTTTCACTGATGAATTGTCACACAAGAAATAAGTCTACAGTCTTTTTATAATGGGTTCAAATGCCCTGGCAGCCTTTCCTCTGGAGGCCCAGTGGTCCCTGAGCCCTTTGTCCCTCAGCTGAGTGTCTGAGGTGTGTCCAGGCTGAGCACCTCCCCTGAGCTCACAGCAGCAGTGGCAATGAAAGGTTCCTCAGCTGAGCTAACGGGGTTTGGAGGATGTGTTTAGTGACTGCGAGCTATTGACTCATTCTGCTCTGGGCAGCATCCCTGGCAGTGTGTGCTCGGGGCACACAGTGACAGCAGGGTCACCCCCGGGCAGCCATTCCCTGTCCCTGCCCTGTCCATGGCAGCGCTGGGCACGGCTCAGCCGGGGCAGTGTTGGTGTAGGGAGGGAGGGGTGAGGAGCAGCAAATGGGAGCTCAGGGGCTGTGGGGTTCATAGCTCCATCCCA